TCTTTCTAGAAATGACAATCGAATTATTGGTCCGACGAGCACTTTCTATTAAGATAGAAAAAATAATCAAACCTAAATTCTAAAGATGTATTTTGTATTCTCTATACATGCTTTGGATACACAAATTTATCTTCTCTCTTATAAAAGCTCTTTTAAATGTCCAAGGTATGGTCTTTAAAGTATTCCATCAAATTCTCTTTAGAGTTGTGACACTCTCTCTAAGTCGAACATGGTCGATCTTTTATTGGTGGAGAAAAACATTTTAGTAAAAAGTTTGCACATGTTTGCCCAAGTCTAGAAGGAACCAAGAGTCAAGTTTATATACCATATATATGCCTTCTCAACCAAAGACTTAGAAAATTCTTTCAACTTCAAATTATCATCTAAGCCATAGACACCCAAGGTCTCTACAAACTTCATAAGATACTCATTAGCGTCTCCTTGTTTTCCACTAAAAACTTTAAACTTGGGACTCATATAGTTCTTTAGGTAAGGCCTTATCGTATTATGAGTTGAGTAGAGAAGTTTTAGATTAAACTCGTCGATAGATTTTGCCAACTTTCATTTAAAGAATTTTTCTAAGTCCTCTTTAATAAGAAAATGGCATTGACCATTGGAAACAACAACATAATGAGGTGATTGGTGATCATATATAATTGTATAGTGGTTGTTTGATGGGAGAATGTCTTTCCTATAATCCAATTGAATAAGTAGTATGAGATGATCATTAAAATTAATAGTTGATAGTGTCATAGTTTGAGGGACAACGAGTTTGGAAAATTCTACCTATAAATAGTTGTTGTGTGATGTTTTAAGGGCTTGGGTAAATACATTATTGTTGCCCTGGAGGACTTTGAATATCCGTTATTGTTCATGCTCGTAGTCTAAGCTAAACATCTTGAAAAAATTTTAAGACTTCGATCATGACTTGAAAACCCGAATTTGGAATAGTCATGGTAGGGCCTTGTGCAACGAGTCGAGATAAGTCATCTTCCGGTGGTAGTAGTAAGTCGTCACTATCAATTTGAGGATTTGAAGGGTTGTTGACATTCTCATTATTAAGCGATGCAGACGTTGTCAATATTGTGATTAGTATTGTACATGGTATCATTATTATTGTGGGTAGTTGAGCAAGTACAAGATTGGTGTTCTTGTTGGTTGTCTTGAAAGGGGCTATTGCTCTTCACAATCATTAAGTCCCCAAAATGTACAAAGGGGTTCTTGAGAACCGATCGGATGACTGGTCGGCGTGTCAATCAAGATGCGGAGAGTTAGTGTTATAAGTTGTAGAAATAATAATCAACTAGCTAAGTAGAAAGAATGCAAATATTGAAAGGCGTAAAAAGAGAAATAGATAATGTTAGCAAGGCACAAGTAGTATGACCGATAGTAAGGTAGTCAAGGTCCAAACAGATGGAGTTTTAGGTATTTTCTAGTGTGTGTGAGTAGAAGAGTTTTGAGATGGAGAGTTTAAGTGATTTATATATATATATATATATATATATATATATATATTTGTTAAAGATTGAAAGTTCGAAGTTAAAAGTTATGATGTAAAAATTCCGATCTCCTCATAATGATATAAGGTTAGTATTCATAGTGAAAGAAGATGACCTTTGACTCGCTAAAATTATGCCACCTCATTTAAATTTGGACGAGTCAAACTTAGTTTGAAAGATTTAGGTTCTTTGGGTTAAATTGTTTCAATTTACTAGTAAAGATTAAAGGAATTAATGATTAAGTTTTCTTTTAACGGACCTTGCTTCGAGCCCACCAAACCAATCTTCCTAATGCATCCTAAAAATAAGACATGGACATTGGTCTTATCAAAATATCCTTGTCCATCCTTGTAACCAATAATTTGACGTTGAGTGACATGAGTCCAATCTATTTTTGGTGTAGTTTACACCCATATCGAAAATATCAAGAAAGATAACACAGATTAGTTTACAATACCAAACTAGTTAAGTTATTTAATTAATTTCCTATGAACAAATTGAACTTATACACATTTCAATAAAAACAAAAACTTAAAACTATTGCGTTACAAGTTTATTATTATATAACTTATTGAAATCGTATTTGCCAAATTATTCAATATTGTCACCAAAAACTCCAACACAACACATTTTTTTCACTTTAGTTAGAAATCCACCACAAAAATGCCACCGAATGCAAGCCGAGTTTTATACTCAAAAGTCAATTTTAGCCTCTCAAATCCTATTTTTCACTTGGTATTTTTATGTATTAGCATAAACAATTATTTTATTGCTTAGTCCACAAGCAAGACTAAAGATAGCCTTGATCTTAACTCCGAGATTGTTGCTTCCTAAGTAAAAAGAACAAAAAAATAACCCGTTAATATATAACTCCTTTCCTTTGCTTGTGCGAGAGGAACTCGGACCTCCCGATTTTGGATGCCTCTATAAAAGACGAGTTATGTTATTTAGACTTTAAGTCGGAAGCTTCAACTCCAAAGATTACCATGACTCTATCGGGTTGTAAGTCGCGAAATTTGAATGTTGGAGATCCTTGTGGAATAAATGGCTTCCAAAGAAGATTGGAGTATTGGTATGGAAGTTTTTACATAATGCAACTTGCGGTATTTATATTGCTTCCAAATGTCGGTCTTGCTCTCTATCCCAAGTGGAATCACGAGAGCATCTGTTTTTACAAAGTGATATTAAAAACGATTTATGAAACTTCTTTGGGGACGTTCGGATGTCCCTCCCCCGCCTCCGCACTCGCTTTAGTTAATGACCGAGTGGCTTTTTAAAGGTAACTTCATCTCTCGAAAATGCTTCTCTCGAATGATAATATTTAACTGCACTATTTGAAAAATTTGGCTAGCTAAAAATAAAGTTGTCTTTGAGGATGAGAAAATGAATGGGTGTCGGATTAAATACAAAGTTTTTAGTTGGCTAAGTGATATCTTTACATCATTCTCTCCTAAGAAGCGACTCTCCTTTCATTACGAGTCGTGCTTCTCGGTATTGGGTATCCAACTACAACCTTCCCTTTACTCTAAAGGCAAATGGATTAAATGCCAATATCCTATAATAGAGCTTGCTGAAGTTAAACACGGATGGTGCATCAAAGAATAATGCCTACAGTGGGGGGTGTTTTTCGTGATGAGCATAGAAACGTTCTTATGGCTTATTCAAAACTATTTGGTCCCGGTACTAACTCTAAAAGAGAAGCCTTAGCACTTCTGAAGGCATTAAGATTTGTGCCATGCCTAATTTAACGGTGGATATTATAGAAGCAAGACTCCGTCTTGATTATATGAGGGTTAATGTGCTCTCGTTCTTGCCCATGGCAACCGATTTACATCTTTAGAGAATGCTTGGAAAAACATTCATGATAATATAGTCCTTTAACATATTCATAGGGAAGGCAATAGGGTTGCGGATTAGCTTGCTAACTAGGCTTTTCAACATTTGGCCATTGTAATTGTTTTCTCATCTCAAGGGCTTCCTCTAAATTGCCGAGTCGCACTTTCAAATGACAAACTAGGTTTGTATAATTTTTGCCCTCATTAAGTTTAACTCTAGTGGTTAAACCCTTAGAGATTATTTTTGCTTCTCTCTCTTAGGGGTTGGTTTTGCTAATTTTTACCTATAAGCGTTGTTGTCTTCTTATTTTTCTTTTCTCCTATAGGTTTTAAGAAACTTTACTTGTAAGATTTTTTCAAGGGTTTAGGCTTCCTTGTTCTCCCGGATGTTGGGCTAATTTGGTTTGTCCCCTCTTGTTTCTTTCCACGTTTTATTTAATAAATTCTAGGGTACCGTCCTTGTTCCCAAAAAAAAAAAATCATTCTCCTAGTCGTTTGCATACTTTTTTAGATATCCCACATTGAGAAAAGGCATACACAAGACATCGAGTTGGGTTATGAAAAAAGAAGCAAAACATTTGCATAATCATGCCTTTCTCGGCTATGATCAAGTGTCGAAAAGGTCTAAAAACGATCGCTAGCTATTGGGGTGCTAGTCGTAGCTCGAGTTGTAATACGACACAAGCTCGGTGCACTCGCCAAATCGATCCGAAATTATGCATTTCCTTAAGGGTTAAATGGATTAAGTTTTTTTTTTTTTTTTTTTGAATTTTAACTTTTTTAAAATCGAACGGTTTGATTTAATTTATTTGAAATTGAATTTTTTTAGTTAAATTTATTTGAGATTGAATTTTTTGGTTTATAGGATTTCTAAATTTTTAAATTTTTAATATTCGACTTATTTTCTTTATCACATAAATAGTTAATGATGATTAGATTCACATTGGACTTCAAAAAAATATATATTTTTTTTAATATTTAAAAAATAAAAAATATATTTTTTAATTTAGAAAAATTCCCAATACATATGCAAAACTCTAGCTTAAAATACTAAAACTTAATTTTCTTTTTTTAAAAATAATAGCTTAAAGTCGTTGAATGAAATAAATTTTAGTCCCTTCGTATCAAGATAGGAGCACTAAAGATAAATTTGCAAGTAGCGATTAAAAATATGATTATGAAAAATTAGTCAACGTTAACTCCGAGTAACTCTTAAGACCAAAAAGGCTAAAGACTAGACCGAACAGGGAAATTTTAAAAATTTTGATCGGAAGAACAGGGGTTATTTCGAAAACGAGATCTACGACTTGGCATTATTTTAGTAACGAAGAATCCACATAGGGACTAAGTTATGAATGGATATGAAAATACAAGGACTAAGCACCAAAGGGATTAATTATTTTAGTAATGGAGAATCCACATAGGGACTAGGTTATGGTGGATTTGAAAAAACAGGGACTAAGAACTAAAGGGATTAATTAATTTGTTTTAGAAAAATACAGAGACTAAATTGTAATTTACTAAAAATTTGTTCCTTGTACCTACCATTCAAAATTCCCTTTCTCGTTCGCAAAGTACAGGGACTCCACTTGTCCTATGTAATTTGTTACACCTAATAAGGGGAAGGAAGCAGTTGTGAATTGATTAGTGAATTAGAAAGAAATTGATGGGTTTGACATCGGCAAACAGTGGAGGAAGCGAAGGGATGCAATTGTGCATATTTGATTTGAGAAGAGGACAGCAAGAAGGGCAGGAACTAGACAAGATTTTGTTCTTCTTTCCTGCCGATTTACCCTTTTCGAATCAACTTTCTGTCATCGGACTCAGTGAAGGACTCATCACTTTTACCAGGTTGGGTTTCTTACTATTCACGCACTATTCCCTGTAGAGATCTAAATTTTTTCGTTAATTATAGTAAATAGATAGTTTATCATGAATTGTTATGATGATTATGCAGAATTTTCTCTCCAGAGGCAGCTTGTGAGGTGATAGAAGCAGAGAGGCATTCTCATGTTTTTTACGAGGCAGAGCCCGATATTTGGATGGTCATGGTCTGTGCAATCATAGCATGTTCTTTAAAATATGGGTTGCTTTAATGTTTGAATGCATTTGGTGATATCACTTCGCTTTGGTGTTTAATTTTATTGTAGGTAGTGGAGAAAAGCAAGGAAGCAGAAGCAATATGGCGGGTTGGTGCGTTACGAGCAGTTCTCAAGGAAATTCACTCTCTTTTTATGATGTTTCACGGGTCTGTAAGAGAAATGCTTGAGAAAGAACCTAGTGGAGGACAGATTCGAGCTCATTTGTACCCGTTTGTCATGGATTATCTAAGTGGTAAGGCATTGTGTTATTGTATGTCGACTGGAATTGCAGTAAATCATCCAACTGTTTTTTGTTATTGTCTTTGGGGTTCAAAATGTTTCATTGTAAGTCACTAATTGTCAGCATGTCAAAATCGCTCTCCATTGGATTACTGCTGCTGGGGTAATGCTGGAGTTGCTGTATCAAATGGCTTCCATTGGATTTGAGCTACCAAAGTTTTGCTGAAGTTGCTGTATCTCATACCTTACATGTAACTTTTATCTTTGGGACAGATTTTCTTGTTGGGAAGAAAATTCAGTTACCATCATTTCGTGACTGTTTGAAGGAATGTGGAACTGTACAGATGCTGACTGTTGGGAGGGAAGCAGCTATTGAAGTTCAGGTTTGTATCTGCAAAATATTTTCAGCGTGGTAAATGAGAACTTCCTTCATTTTTTTTTCCCTAAATAGCTAGCCAGAAGCCATAGATAGACTTAGTTGAAAGAATCTAAAACATGTTTTAACTTTTCCTTTTTCCTCTGTCATGATCCTGATAGAAAAGCGTGCTTGGACCTTGTGGGACCTAACCTGCTATCATAGCCCTGTGGATGAAAACTGATCAAACCTCCTTACCATCCATGATGTGATCAACTGTTTCCTTATTGTATTTTACATATAACACTAAATAGTTCAAAAGTTTTCCACCCTAGCAACTTTTCAATTGTCAGTTTCCATGGCAATTCCACTGTTCATGCTATGTGTACTGCTTTCTGCTCGCTCTACCCTTGTTTAATTATATGCTTCAAACTGGAATTTTCAGTTGTCAAGATGTCAGAATGCAGCAGAACATTGCATATTTCTTACCATTCGGCTTCTATTATATATATATATTTAAGTAAATCTAGACTTACAAAAAAAAGGGGGAATAAGCATGGTTTGTTTGTCAAAATTATGTCAATTTTTTAAGTATAATTAAAAATGCATTCATATATTTAATGGAGCCTTTTCTTTTTCTGAAAAAATTTGCATTTGTCATATCAGTCTTCACTTGTGCAGCTCCAAGGTTCTAGTTTTAACACATGTAGCCATTCATAACCAACAAGTATTGAGTAAACTTTAGACTCAACTTTACTCCAATGCTTCCAACCCCTCCACTACTTGATTGGAACTTGATGCTATGTACTAGATAGGGTGAGAAACACATTATTATCGGCTTCTCTATTGAATGATGGCCACAATATGAATTCTGATGCAGTCCTCTTGTTTTGATGCTCTGTACAATATAGGGTGAGAAACACATTATTATTGGCTTCTCTGTTGAATGATGTTCATGATATGAACTCTGATGAATTCTTCTTGTTTTGGCAGTCACTTGCGAGGGTATTAGAGTCTGGTGCTGGGGCTACTACACCTTGCTATTCACTGATTTTGTTTCAAGACTTGCTTGTGTCCACAACACTTTCACCTGTACGGTTTAATCTCCAAGGCCCCTTTGATCTTTCTGGCTTCTTAATTTATGCTACATGCTGCTATTTATACTCGTCAAACTTTATTTGATTCTCAGAAATTAAATAAATGTCATAGCGACAGAATTCTGACGATGATTTTGATCAAATGCTAACAATCTTCACCGCATTAATTTTTTTTTTTTTTTTTTTGCCAGGATGACACCATAAATTTATTTGCATATGCAGTTCAAAGGTTGACCCCTCGTGCTCTATCATCCGGAGTAAGTTCGTGGTCCTATCTACGCAGAGGAAATACTCCTGATCTTGTTGCAGGGCTTACATTTGCCACTGTCTCTGTTTCGGAACAGTTACATCACTTGCATGCTCCCTCTCCTAGTCAAGATAACAGTAATCATGTTAAAAGGCCCTTACAGCACAACAGGTGGTCTAAAGAGAAGGATGGATTTCTTGTCACTGATATTTGGGGAAGGGAGATGGGTAGTTTGATTCCTGCCACCCCAACAATTTGGCTTCGGCAGACTGGGGAAAGAATGTATCTTTGTGCTTACCAGTATAAAAGCCTTACCTTAATCCTCCTGGTTCCTTTGTCCTCTATTCTTAATGGGGAGCAAGGTGTTTCTCTGGTCAAGAAGCAAGTTCTTGAAAATGTAAGTGACTTCCTTTGTGAGTGAATTTTGTCTCATCGCTATTGAGCCTCTTCTGTTTATATTTTCTCCTGTCATCAATATTTCCTTTTTGTTTGTATGTTGCACTTCACTAATCCTGATAGGTTTTAGCAGGAAGAAGATGTCGGTTGTTTGTATAATATGGTTTTCTCCATGTAGCTGTATCTGTCATCATAAATTGTTTTTTCCTTTATTATCTGTTACATATTCAACGATCAAATGTATAAATTCTATCTTCTCTCATTCTGTCATATGTGCAAAGGTTTAGTAGTACATATGGCCAAAAGTTTCTTTCTGATGTAATTGGCAAGAGTTGTTTTGTTCATTATGGTTGCTCATATTACATCTGAAAATAGGCTTTTGTTTCACATGTTTGTGAAATTGGCTGAAATTATTATGTGAAGACACTACACAGATAGTTCACTATAAATTTGTAGGAAACATATTCTGTTTGCACTGTAGAAAGGATTGCTTGAGTCTGCCTTGCCTAGATGCAAATACTTAATATTTATTTTTTTCTATTTTCTTATGTGGCAGTTATGTAGGTTGCATAATAGGAGACTTGTTATTCTATCATGCAAATATCCTCTCTTAGTTGGAAGCTACAATGTGTAATAGGTGAGGATTAAGGAGCGTGCCTTTCCCGTGTGTATAATTTCTGTGGAAATTTACGCTGCCCTATTGCACTGGAAGATCTTACAAACATAATATACAGCAAACCTGCTAGTTTTATTACATTTCACTGGTCCATCACATCTGTTGAAATGAATGCCACAGAAGTGCTGATGTAATTGAGTATCCGCCATCCACCACCAAGCCTCAGCTCAATATGTGCAAGGCCCCAAGTGACCTCAAACAACTTGAAGCTTGCGTCTCATGATGCTGAAAATCATGTTTAAAATATTCAAAAAGAAGTAGAAGAGTCAATGTATTAACAACTTACTAGAATGTTAATATTATGTCAAGAAAGAAGAAAGAATGTCTGCTTCATACCACTCCAAGAGCTGAAGCAAAAACATCTATGATGTTCTAGTTAATTTAGATCTCAAATATTGTTACTCTATTCCATTTGGACGATGTTGACAAACTATCACTTGATTTTAGTATATTGTGTCAGAATGCACCCTTTTTAATTTCTTACTTAATTGAACAGTAGCTGTTCAAGTGGAAGCCTCCTCATTAACTCTAATGTGTTTATTGTTTATGCTTTTATTCTAACCTTACCTTTTATTTTATCATACAGAAAATTTGTATCAACTATCAGGATCACTTTCTAGGTTCAATTGAAATTCTATTTTAATGCTCTCAATGTTAGCTCTCATTAAAAAATGATGTTTACATATTGGAAGTATATGATACATTTCCCAAATGTCATGTTCTTTCTTGCTGAATGTGTAGGCATCACTTAAGACTTTAAAAGTTGAAGAGAAACTATCAAAAGGATGGGGTGGTGAGAATGCTTATCATGTCAGTGGTTACCGCTATCTCCTCATTGATGATGATAGAAATGTATCCAGGGCTTCGCCACCAGTAAAGGTCACAACCCTAGCAAAGGTGAAGCTCCCTTGGTTTTGCTTGATTGAATTGTACCTCTCTGGTTTGACATGAACATGCCAACTTTATTCAATTTCTTACTAGTTGCCTTTTGAACTCCCATTTAAAGCAAGCATATGAAACTTTAGTGCTTGAAGTTTTAGAGGAGGATAACTGTACCAAAATGTGCATAACAGAAGGATATGAATTTAAAAAAGAGCATCGTGTAGTTCAATGAATTTAAGAATGACTAAATTTTGATCCCCTTAGTTGATTGATATTATATCTCTGCTAATACACTGGGGCCTCTTATATGAAGGATAATACTGGCTATCCAAGCTTCAGCATTCTCGAAAGGACAAATACTGACAAATAACATGCTCAATGTGTCCAATATCTGGGTAGAGGCATGATATAATTTTTATCGCTTTCCCTCGTTTGATTGTGACTGGTTAATGGATGAATAAGAAGGGATCATATGAGTCTTAGGTCTATATCTTACCAACCAATCAAATAAGTGAAAAAGGAAAAGATGAATAAATCAAGTCGTCAATTAATTTAATTTGTCTGAAGCTAGTAGCAGTAGTATCTGCATCCTGCAATTTGTCCTGCAGTTTTTATGCTCAAATTGTAGAATTGTGCCTTTGCCACTTAGTTACAGGCCTAGATTTAAGAATTTTCATGTCCTCCCTTACCCTTCTTCCATGGGTGAAGTACAGAAGTAGAACAAGAAAAAAGAACTGGCAAAATATCTAGATAGAAAATATCAAATTTGAGCAAATAGCTTAAAAATAACTGTAATTAATAATGTTAACTGGACAGTATGTCGAGTCAACTGCTAATTAATAAGGTTAACTCTACTCTTACAACTAGAGGTAATGCTTAATGCCAATTTAGAGTTCTAGTTCCTTGCACAATATTTATCGTATGAGAGATCTGTCTACCATCCCGTGTCCAAGTCTGCCTTTCTCTAGAAGTCAGAAGTTTATCTGGATACACTTCAAACTTTGGTTGGTCAGTCAAACTTAAGAAATGAATGCTAAATCATGGCACTCGGTGGCTTTATTTAGAAGTTTGACATTGTTTTGTTAATTGAGGGTACTGTTGATGTTGAAGTTTTTTTTTTTTCATGTTGTTTGTATTGCAGGAATCATTGCTTGCCATGAGTAAGCTTAGAGAAGAAGTAGATTTGGAGAAGAGTAGAGCAAAATGGGATAGTGCAGATCATGACAAAGATCTGGAAATATGCATTAGAGCAAAAAACAATGCTTGGGTTGTTGCTCGTACTACTAGAGGGAAGGAGCTTTATATGGTTCTGGAAAAGGCTGACGAAACACTTCTTTATGCCTCAGATGCCATTGAGAGGTTCAGCAATAGGTATCCCAGTTTTTAAAGTGACTGCAGTATCATCATTTTTATTTTGTCCCCAACATCATCTTTAGCACTGGCACTAGTCTGAGCATATAACTGCTGGCATTACCATTATTGGTGCTTTCTTTTTCAGTATCTTACTTGGTAGATCAAAGGAAAAAACATAAAAAATTAAAATAAAGATAGAAAGAAGCAGTATTGTAGACTAATATGGAGGCCAATTAATGTCTCATAAGCTGACTTGATCGACTGAATCTGTCCCTTGGCTTAATACTTGCAGTTCTGTTTATACATGTTTTTAATGTTTGACTGAATCTTTCCCTTGGCCAAATGATTCCTGTTTCGTTTACATATGCTTTTGACTCTACTTTTCCATTTGAAGAATCAGATTGTGTGAAATTTCCCAGTTTGTTAATGGAGGCTTCTGATGAAAATTAATGCACTCTATGCCAAGGAAAAAAAAAGTGTTAATAAAAGATTGATTTTTATTTATTATTGATGGTTCGCATATTTATTTCACCTGTTTCTGAATTTCAGATTTTTCTGTGTGGTATTTATTAACTTGTGATTTATGCAGGTATTGTAGTGGCGCTTTTAGTTTGGATTAGGGAAAATGTACTGGCTGTATATTTATTGATTCTCACATAATTAGAATGAGGGGATGCGTGTAGGAGCACTTATTTCTTCCATTACTGCTTCTCATGTAAAGATTTCCTTAACAATGAGGTTCGAAACAGAAAAAATTAGATCTGTTGTCTGTATAATGCTATGGCTAATCCCTGCATTTTGATATACGGATTTGATCATCATCATATCAGGGTGCCTTTGCTAGCCAGTTCTAGAGCAGTGGCTCTGGGAGGTCTGCCCATTCGTGTAATAGTTAATGAAATTTTGTCAAGACAAATACCAAGTATTGCTATCATGTGAAATAGAAGTTGGTGACTTTCATATTATTGGTTACTGGTTACTTTGCGTGCGTTTGTTGTTGCATTGCCTAAAATATTATGATAGTGAGCTAACCAGGGGGTGGTAGAGAGACGAGGAGAGGAATCCAGTAACCCTGAAACACCAGGCCAGGGGTAGGTGGTACAACCTCAAGTTGAAGTCCTCAACCCGTCTCTCCAGGGTCATATTTGTTAAAGGCCCCGTTGTCATTTCCTCTACGAAGGAGGGACAGGTTTAGGATAGTGGTGAGCAAATGGTTCGGTTAACCAAAAATCGAATAAAACCGAATCGAATTATGAAATTTGATTCGGTTTTAAATATAAAATTATACAATATAAAATCGAACTGAAAAAACCAAAATTATTTTGGTTCGGTTCGGTTTTTAGAAAAAAATTTCGGTTTCGATCGAAAACCGAAATAAATAGTAAAAAATTTCCTAATTTCTAAATCCCTAACTTTTCAATCTTCATTCTTATTGAAACTGAAACACGCAGATGAGAAGTAAATTTTGAGGATCGTTAGGGTAAGAAAAGAAAGTGACATTGTATAATTAATTGAGAAACGACTTGTTTGAATGAGCAAATTTATTACACTTGGACTCGTTTTCATTAAAGCTTAATTAAAATCTTCAAGGGCTTTGTGATTGTTTATAAAAATGATTAATTGATAACAAGATGTTATTTCATTAGCTAGTGGACTAAGTGCTAGTACAAAACATCTCTCTATAATGATTTTTTTTTTTTACAACAAAATATTTTGATTAAAACCGAAATATTTCGAAACCAAACTAAAATAATTCGGTTACAAGCCGAATTTACCGAATTTATTTCGGTTCGGTTTTGGTTTTTATTTTTTTAATTCGGTTAACCAAAAACCAAATCGAATCGTACAAAATCAAACCGTTTAACCCAATGCTCACACCTAATTTAGGGTGTAGGGGGCAGATGCTAATTCCCAAGCCCACTTCCCTTAGTTGCCACTTGCCACCCTCTGGCTTTGGATATGCCGACCCAAAATTAGTGGCGATCAAGTACAAGTGAAATTATTTGAAAAAATAATTTTAATTTGATAGTATGTAATGTATTATAGATCTATTAAAATATATTAAATTAAAAGCTAAAAAAACATCTACTTTTATAATTTATTTTTTCTTATATATATATATATATATATATATATATATATATATATATATATATATATATATATATATAAATTTATAGTTAAAACATGATTTGTTATTTTTATGTATTAATTTTTAAATAAAAAATTGTAATAATTTATATAGAATATTTAATTCAAATTTTTTTTAAATGTCTTAATATTTTTTTCGTAAGGTTGCATTTTGAAAAAATAAATCAACAATTAATATAAAAACCTATATAAAAATTATCTAATGAATTTTTTTTTCATTCTTATTTAACGTTGATGAGGAAATTTTTTTTTAAAAAAATATAATTTTGATTTTTATATATTTATTCACAAAAGAATCAATAATATTAATATAAAAAGCTATATTAGAATCATTTGATGGTTCTCCCATTATATTATTTTAATTATTTTATTTGAAAATTTTTTATTTTAAAATATTTAGAAAAATTAATAATAAATAGTTGGCGTTATGTGTGAAAATGCGAGTTAATATCTCTTTTTTTATACATCATTGATCATATTCAATGGATTCGAGTATGCGACATAAATAAAAAAAATTAAGAAATAAATAAATTATAAGGAATATATTAAAATTAACAGAGTAAAATAAAAAAAAAGCTGCAAAAATAATTTCTATACATTTTATTATATAAAGAAGAAGCAAATAAAACACATAATTCTATTTTTAATTGATTTTTTAAAAAGATTTGAGAAAAATTATCCGAAATATACTTTTTATTTTTTAACACTTATGTTTAAAAATCATAAGAATTTATCACATGAATTATATCAATATATTTAAAAAAAGATAAAATAATGATATTCTAAAATTTTATCCAAAAATCCATCCATAGAGAAAAATAAATCATATTTATTAACAAATAAAATTATATAAAAAAAATTAAAAATTACTTTCATGAGAATTTTCATAAAAAAGACAAATAAAAAAATCAATTTTAAACTATATATATATATATATATATATATATATATTCTAAATTATAAAAATATATCATACGTATTTATCACAGTTAGCTTGTGTGAAAAAAATTAGTTTTTTATATTTTTCGCATCTAATATTTAAAATTAGAAAGAAAAAAAAAGCAAACAAATAAAAAAAGTATTTCAATGTAAGCATGCGCGTGTATATCAAATCGAAAAATTCAAAAAAATTTAGGTTCTAATATACATTTTTTTTTATCTATTTTATAACTTGAAACTATTATGAATACTCTCATCATCAAGATAAATAATATGAATATAAGATCAGCCACAAACAAAGTTGAAATCGGAGCCAACTTTATGTCTTCTATCACTACATTTAAAAATCAAATTATAATGCAAATAAACTTGAAAATGAAAATAATTTTTTTTTTAAATACTAAGAATCAAAGTACAATATGAGGAAAATTATGAAAATACTGTATGATGCATATGAGTTTAAATAAATAATAAATAAATAGTATTTTAAGTTTAAGTAAATAGTATCATGGATAGTAAATGTCTCAAATCTTTTAGTATTTTTATTTTTATTTTTATTTTTAATAACCCTACGAAGCTAGGTGGGAATTGGGATTGATAAACTTTCGGTTTGAGTAAAGCTCGTACTAATTTGTCATAGGTGTGTAAGGGGTTGGGCCGAAATAATTAAAACTGAAGAAAATATGCTGGGTCCAATCATGGCCCAAAATCCCAGTGCCCAAAACAAATGCTAGCTAGGGTTTTGTGGTGACCGGCGGCCAAACTTCAAATCATCTACACTATATAAAACACAGCGCCATCACCTCCCCTCACCTCATTACTCAGATCTGCACTCTTTCTTGCCAAAGCTAAAATCAGGTAATGATACAATTTGTTTTTGTTTGCTATTCTTTGTTTCTTTTTCTGTGATAGGAAGAGCTGATTAAGCTTCTCGACTTTGTTATCGTTTTGATAATAAATAATAAATGTCTCTAATGATGATCAAAACTTTCGTTCTTCTGACAAGTTAAAACGATGTGGAAGATTTTATGGAGACCTGAACTGAAGAGACATCTTTTATTACGTTTTATTTTTTTCTTTTCATTTTTTTTTTTTGTATTATCATTTTTTGTGTCTGACGATTGCCCAACTCTGCTACTTTGTTTCTTTTTTTTCCTTTCCTTCTTGCTCTATTGCTCCTGGTTAATTTATTACTACTAATGTACTTAAAACCAACATTTTTAAAGATGTTTATATTGCCTCTAATGATGATGATTATTATACTTTCGTTCTTCCGAGTTGTCCCGTGCGGAAATATTTTTGGAGACCTGAACTGAAGAGGCTTGATTCTGATTGTTGATTTCAATGTTGTCTGGGTTGTGTTGTTTTTAGCCCGTTATTGTTTTCTTTGAGGTTTCTTATGTTCGTTCTTGTGTCTTACCGTTTATGTCATCTGTCATTGTTTTAGTTAAAACCTACTTTGAATTGAAAATGTATCTGATTTTAATCAGAAAGTTTTCTGTTTCCGTTTTAATTTGCATGGTCTAGTTTTTACTCTTGCGTCAATCACAATTTATGTTGGTATGATGCATAAAATCTCGTCGAGGGAAACTTTTGGTCCAGTTCCCATGGAAGTACATTTTGGCATTAACTTTTTTTGTTTCTTTAAGTTTTGTTCCGATTTCATTTTGTCAAAATAGCTGATATAAACTGATGCTGTTACAGCATGTGAACCCAACCCTGCTGTCCCATTCGAATTGGTTTGTTTTCATGTCCTCATTGGGGGTTTTAAGGGCTTAGTTTGTTATTTGTCTTAACATTGAGGATCTTTATAATGTCTCTAATGATGTGCTTATTTAAACTTTCGTTCTCCTGACCAAATTCATGCTGAAACATTGTGGAGACCTGAGCTGAAGAGTTGTAAAGACAATCTTCAATGTCCATTATGTTTACTTTATTACTTTGCATTAATTCATATTTTGTGCATCAGTGAGAGAGATGGAGTTTGTCTTTCAGTAGTCAAAATGTAAAGCAGAAACATAAACATAAACGATTTTATATGTAGAATTGATACGCCCTACTGTTCCTCACAACACTACCTAAACATTTATGATGTGGACATTTTTTCCATCTAAATGAATGTTCAATAATTGTCGTCATGATTTTTTTTTCCAGGATGTATACGATGTGTTTCCCTTTTATTGTTAATTTGTCTGTCTTTTTTTCATTTATATTCACTTAGGCTGGGAGGTATTGGCTGATAGGTATATTAAAGTGTACCTCTGTTGAAGATGAGGTACTGATTCATCTTTCCAGTTGTTCCCTCATTTAACAAATTTTTTGTCTATTACTGAATTCGTTGTTAAATATGTTTATTTCCTTAAATGCTGAAAACTGTTTGCTGTGTCATTTCTCTTTACAGCCAGGCAATGGAGGAAGATGTAAGTTTATTTTGCACTCACGGTTCCTGGTCTGCTTTTGCTTTTGTGGTTGTATTGCATTTTATGACACACAAACGAGTATCTTTCATTAGCCACCAATCCTTAAAAAAGGATTTCACTTACCCTAGGAAATTTGTTGGTAGCTTAGGGTTTGTGTAATGTATTTGGAAGTTTTCTTTGTAGATCACGTGCACTAACATGACTTTGCTATGTGCTCTTTTGCAAATATTACTCATTACAGATTTTGGCTAACAGCATGTCATACTAAAGCTCCTGTTAGCATGAGTTTTTGCTGACTTAAGAAAATGATTGCTACATGTCGTTAAGAATGAGGAGGAAGACGAATGATTGCTACAAGGGCCTTAAGGCTCCAAGCAAGGGCACGAGCAGGCGTGCGTGTGGTTTTTTTAAGGGATAGATGGCTTCCCT